TAAACACAAACTTTGAAAGTAAATATTATAACTATATATTTCTTTATTTAAAAAATATATATTTAAATAGTTGACTTCTATTAAAATATAAAAAATTATATTTTTACACTAACTCTAAATCTTTTATTTTTGTATATTTTAATTTTTAAATTATTTTAAAAAAATATTATTTAATATATTTCTACTTTTTTTAATCATTTTTCATAATTTAGTATAGCAAGTAGCCCATTTAAGTGAGAACTTACAATAATATTTTTTTTTTTAAAATAAGTGATTCGCTACTTCGCCAAACCGACAAATGACTCAACAAGTTTTAGTGAATATATGTCGCCCATTTTGATGGAATGACTTTGCCTCTTTTTAAATTTATTTTTTATACTTAATTACATTATTAAAATTTTAATAATGCCTCATTTTAAAATTTGTCCCTTTATTTGTTCCAATTCTTTGAGGTAGGTTTTAAGTACTAAACTAAGCGTATAATAAACCTTTACACAAATTATTTCAATCAATATCCACTTCACAAACCCTAAACCCTACCACTAAAAATACATTCTGACCCATTACAAAATGGATGGTGCAAATAGACTAAAATTGCTAGGATAGGCTTATACGAAGAAATCATGAGAGCTAGATTCCTTCCACTAATGGTTAGTTTGGGATAGCTTTTTTGTTGCTTCTTAAAAGAGTTTTTTAGTATAAATTTTTTAATTATTGTATTAAAAAACTACTTTAAGAAACAGGAAAAAAGTCATCCCAAACGAAGCCTAAGTATACATTGAAAGCTTAGAGAGCTTGGAGAGGAGGAATTTTGAGATTTATGTAACCTGCCAGATCTTTGTACTAGTCGTCATCGGCATTCAATAGACCATCAACTCGCAGTCGTCTTCTGTCAAAAACAGCTCTGAAAGATTCACGCTCGGCACGGAGCTGTTCGTTGAATCGCTTCTTGGTTTCTAAGCTGATCCGTCCGGTAATCTCAGCAACGGTATTATCTTCAGGTAATGGGTTGGACTTCTGTAATAACAAGCAGCAGCACATAGAGTAAATCCTTCCAAAACGAGTTGATGAAATTGCTTATAATTAAGAGAGAGGAACTCATTGAGGAAGAAATAGAGAACTAACCAGATTGTAGCCAGCTCCTGGGCCAATTATCAAAGATGATGCACTTTGTTTCTTGTTGGTACCTATTGAAAATCCACTTGTATCAACCTGAAAGTAACAAAATCAATTCAAACAAATTGCTGCATCAGAGGTTCAAAAACATAAATCTTAATCCGAAAAGGACTTAAATTCTAGAACATGGTAGAATTGAAAGGATTTTTGTTAGACCGGGCCAGCCGGTCCTACGGGACTAGCCCATGTGAAACAGGAGGAGAAGTTCCACCTCTTGTACGCCCGATCCGACTGCCCAAGTATAACAGAGCTGCTTAGGAAGGTTTTTAAAGGGAGTTAGGATGGAAATTTCAAAGTAGGGGCTGTTTAGAAATTTCCTTTTGGATTGTATAATTAAACAATTTGTTTTCCTAGGGTTATGACATCTTGAATTAAGCTGAAATTTGAGATTTCTTAGGTTTTTGGGCTCTAGCAGCATCTAGAGATTTGGGAGAGAGAGATCCTCCTCTCAAATAGAGGATCAATTGTATCTTGTTATTTTCCTTCCGTTAGTTGATTATTCCAATAAAAACTACTGTTTTCCAATTTTTTGTTCTGATTGGTTGATTGTTCTCGGTGTTTTTTGTCAAGATCGTTAAGTTTAACTTGAAATCTTCAAGTGTTTCCTAACAATTTCATCTTCAAAGATCGTTCAGCAACATATTATTCAGCATATTTACGTCATAAAATGACATCAATATCGTCTAAAATGTTGTCTATGCAGTTCATAAATTTTGGCATTCACTCATCTAAAGTCAATCATCATCATCATTTTTAATGTTCAGGGAAACTCTGACGAGAAGTAAACTAACAGGCACAGAACAATACTTCTTATGCAGTCACCAACTTGATTAATTATTTGTATCACAAAGAACATTATGGAATCAAATGCAAAACATACCTTATCACCCCAGTGAACAAAATTTACACCCTTCCCATATGCTTGAATCAGCCCAGAAAGCGCACTTGTGTTTCCAATGGCACTCTTAGAGTCATGTCGATCAACAGACAGATCCTTGGACCATTTACTTCTTTCCAGTTCATTTTTCCCTGGAACGATCTCCTCTTCTTCAGTACTCCATCTTTTACCCAATTTAGTTGATCCTAGATAAAAATTAAAAACAATTAGAATGCCATAGAAATCTATAATCCTATGCCACATATCAAAGGCACTCAAGAAAGCCAAAGTAATTTTTCATGAAGATAGAATTTTAAACACGGGATTACACTCTGGGTTTTTTTATCGGTACTTTCTAGCCTACTCATTCAAGCCCATGAGAATCATTCAAGACAGGATATGATACCAATTTATGGAATATTTATTTACTCTCTTAAGTAATTGTACAATGACGCTGCTAACCATTCTAGTCGCCTCCACATGATAACAAGATACTGTTCACAATACTACAGAAATCTGGTAAACTAAAATAATCAGTTTGAACATTATTCTATTATATTTATGAACTGTACTTTGGTAGGCTCGACTGGCAAAAGCAAAACCAGACAGTCTAAAGAAAAAAATCAAACGCACCTTCCTACTACCGAGCAAGTCTTGAAAATGAAACAAAAATTCAAGCTTGGAATAGTAAAATGAACATAAATTACACAGAAACTGGTTTCATTCACTATGCATCATTCCTAAAAGTTTCTGACGGAACAAATCAACATAGAATGTAAGAATAAAACCTTGCATTGCATTAAATAAAAGATATCAGATGAGCATAGAAATACTGCGGAAATATAGAATTAATAAAATAAATGTGGAAAGCAACTTATTGTGCACCATGATCAGATTCCTGTTCGAATGATTTTGGTTCTGATGAGTTGCAATCATCATTTTCCTGCGAGTGATGCGCTTCACCATCCCCTGCGGTATCATCCGTATCCATGTCCACCTATTAATAATAAATAAAAGAAAACATAATTCTAGGCATCTAGAAAAGGGGAACTACAGACTAGTACAACTATTTCGTGTAGTATGATTTAAGGGAAATCCAATACATTGGAAGAATTCTGTTTTAAAACAGATTAAGAATAAACAGAAATAATAGAAGCAATCTGAAAAAGTAAATACGTTGGGAGATAAAAACAATCAAACTGCCCTATAAAACTATGACAGCCTAATGAAAATTATGTGTCCCTCATCATCAACAGCAGATGCTTGTCTTCTATTACCATTCATTCAAATTGAGAGCAGCATTTACCGTTCATTCAAGTTAAAGATGAATAATTTTGAATAAATTCTAAACATGTGATATATCACTTGTCTTTCCTAATCTTCCAAATAATTTCAGCAATCCACCTTTACTCAAATGCCTCCACCAGCCCATCATCAACAATTGTCATCTAAAACTTAAACAAATATAATTATTTACTTTTTAATCTATTACCGCACAATTAAGAGTATAGAAACCATAGAGATCTCAGTGATCTTGTCCGCTGAGCTATCCTTACCTTAAGAGAACCAATTTCACCAAGAACTTTTTGAGTGGGTAAACAACTTGAAGAAGGGAAATGCCAAATGCTTTTAAAAAAAGGCTTGCCATATAGAATAATAGAAACATGTCCCAGAATTGTATTTAAGAAATAGCAGTCCATTTATCTTTTTCTAAAGAATAGACAATTGACAGAATTAGCACGACATGAAGAAGCAACTAAAATGCTTAAAAAACTAGTTTCAAAAACCAAAGTACTAAAAGCAGTCTCAACAACGAGAACTTTTATAAGCTTCACGTACAGCAACAGTGCCCGGTAACAATCATATTTTGCCTGCCTTGCCATCTTATACCCTTCAAGTTAGGTACATTAAAGCATAAAAACTTTTAGAAGGTAAACTGGACTTGGGACAAGCATAAATATGGCTAACATATTGCAAGACATTGACCAAAAACTTACCCAATTAGATGGGAGACGGATGAAATTTTTCACCCATTTACCTGAATAAGCAACCACAATGCCATACATAGATGGTAAACCAATTGAGAACAAGCCTTCCCGATAATCATACGAAACACAAACATTAGCTAACCATATGCGAACAACATTAATAAATCACACTAACAGCTAAACCTAAGATAATGGTTCCACCATAACCAAGCTCATCACTTCCCTTCTCAACCACTAAATCGGAACCATCTTTCCAACTCTTTCCCAACACTTTTCAGCCAATTGATGAGCCCCAACACACTTCCATTCACAATAACACAGCCCAAACACCTAGATTTGACTCCCTTTGTCATTAGCAATTGCTGCTAACAATTAACTGGAAGAGAAGCAGATACCAATGAAATTGACAAAAAGCTATGTGAAGCAGACATAAGCAGTCTTGTCACAAAGTAAAGGCTGTCTGTAGTGGTCAGGACCCCTCTCCTCCATTGATTTATCTGGATATCCTTCGATAAACTCTAAAAAGTCGAGATACATCAGTTGACCAATGACCAACATATCAATTCGTGCAATGACAAACCAACTATAAAACCCAACAAAAGTACCAGATTAAAGAAGATCAAGGATTGAAGGAAGAAGAGTCTTGTCCGTTAGATTCAATCAATAGGGGATTTGAATCACAGCCCCTCCCAGTCAAACCAGCCCCGTTGGCATTATAGCCAATAAAACAACATTCCAAAGTATAGTGTAGCTCATCCTTTCTCTCATACCATAAAAATAAGAACTTTTCTTAATATAGATTAAGAGCAGTTGGTTTCCTATAATTAGAAAACATCACTTAAAAAAATGATTTTGTTTCGCTTGTTTGTTTTTGAAGTTGAAATATCACATTCGAGGGCTTTTGAAGGTGTTTGTAGAGTTTAAAATTAATGTTGATTTCCAAGTACATTAAACCAAATGATAATCTCATAAATTCATTATTTTTCAAAACATATTTTCTAATTTCAAGCAATCAAATGGGCCCCATAACTACAAAAAAACACAAAATCACACCAATGCAACGTCAATAATGCCCAAAGCTATTCTTATTTCTGCAATTCTTATGCTTAATGCTAGAAGCAGTAATGAAAAATCTTCTATTTTATATTATTATATTTATGTCTGACTGCTAATAGATAATAGCACGTGACTTTATTTTGTTTATTCCTACTACAACCAAATGCTTTTACCATTTTTCCACTGTAGACCTAATTAGAACAAATAAATGATAAAGAAATAAAACACTTGAAGGAAACCATCCATTGTATTGCAAGACTTTCTCCTCCTTCCTCAAGCATCTCTAGTCTATCTTCTAATCTTGCCTCTTCTCTTCTCCTTGTAGATCCCAAGGCCTTCTAATGGAAAGAGAGAGATTGGAGACAAGAAAACCAAAGGAAGAGGGACAACGGGGATAAAACTAAGCATGAGATAGGCTACATACACCAGCAAGGTAAGAAAGATGATGTAATTAATGATTGTAAAGAGGCAAGCCCCCAATTTTGTTCCACATCCTTTTTAGGGAAAAAAAAAGCCAGTGACCGGCCAGCATGCCTATCTGGCATCCTCGTAAGTTTAGCTTTGTCACATCTACTAGACCAATTTCAAAAATGAAGGATTAAATCTTAGTCCATGTGCTTAATTCACTGTATATGCTTCTCCGGTCTGGCATGTTCATGTTACCACAAACCAGGGCACGCCAAAGACAATCGTTCACACTGGGTTAAAATGTTTCTCAATTTGCCATTTCAGCATCGTTGCAAGTAGATCTTCAAAGTTCAGCAGTTGCCAAACAGAGCTAGGGTATTTACAATGGATTCTAAAATTTAGCTCAATTAATAGCATATCTTGAATCTCTCTCTACAACAGTATAGTTCTACCTAATGAGAACCACGGAAAAGGGATTCTTCATATTATCATGGCCTCAAACTATGCGCCAACGCACAGATACCTTTGTTATGCCATCTGTAATTAATCTTTCCAGTCTGCATCAGAACATTATTCGATAATTGAAGTTAATAAAACTAGGAGCATGTATATGCTCAATAATGTAGAAAGGGGCAATGAAATTAATAAATTTCAACCAACTGTATGAAATACATTGGGTCTTCTCAAAAAGTCATATTTATGCAGCACGAGTTTCTAACAATTAGTTTTTCTCATAAATGCAGAACTTATATTATAGTTCTCCCTAATAATACTTCAAAAATAATAATAATAATAATAATAATAATAATAATAATAATAAATTGTTTTATTCCATACAAGAAACAATCGAGTTTCACCAAACCTTCTTAGGTTTAGTACATAGAAACATCTCAACTGAAAAATTTGCTCCTGAAAACCGTAAACAGCATTTGCATAATACATTGGCGTAATTGTATATCAAAAATCTTACACATATGATATATATCAGCAGCGTCAATGCTTTATGATCCATCATTACATTCTCTAAGCAATAGAAAGAAGAGTAAGAAATTCATTTGAAGCTGAAATAAACCATTGACGCCATAAATTCAACTAAATCTAATTATGACAAGAAGAAACAGGTAAGGAAAATTGAAAATTTTGCACTAGATTACCTCCTGGATGGATTGGTCAATCAGATCATCCCCACCAAATAATGACTGCAAAAGAAAATAAGAATATAAATAAGCTGACAGAAAATTCAAACTAAGTAAAATCAGTAGCAAAGGGAAATTGAATGCAACAAGAAAAATATGAACATGATATATATCATCCATAAAATAAAAAAAACAGGTAATATCCATATGGTAGACCTGAATATCCAGATGCAAATATAAAGGTGGTGCTTCTTCCCACTGTTCAGCCATTTTTTGTATATCAGCCAGCTTGAAACCATGAATGTTCCTGGCAGCACAACCCTGTTTGTTTCCCCATACATGTAAAAGAACAAACCAAAAGTAAATCCCCCCAAGCATTGAAATCACTAAACAAACAATGAACAGAGTACTGCTGCCATTATAAGTAAAAAGCAAGCAAACTTCAATGAACAGAGCACAGAAAACCATAAGCACATTGATTCAAATGATGTGGACAAAAACTTCCATTTCTTTAAAATGCAATATGCGTTTTCAAGCATAGCTATATCTCTAAAAGACCTTCCATAAAGGGGTGCAAAATTCATTGCATCAACGCCACAATTTGCATGTTTTCCAAATTTTGGCGTTAAACCATATCAAACGCATAAAATTTCACTTTACTTTGTTCTCTCTTTGCAATTTTCTAAGAAAATAAGAAAAAACTAATGTGAGAAAATTGTGATTCACTTTGTTAGTGATCCTGCATATTTGCAAGCAAACTAACAGTCAAGGCTAAAATCAATCATATAGAAATGATTAAATATCGGAAGCTTACCGCTGGATCCTTATATGTAGCTTCGAGCAGGTACACTTCGTAACCCAACCTCTGTCACAAAAATGTTTCAAAAGAATGAGAGGGAGAAACTAGTTGAAAAAGAAAAATCTCCATAAACAAAACAATTGATAACTACCAGTAGAAATAATTGGAATACTTAAAAACCAACTTTTGGCATTGATTGTGATTTGTTTTGGATTTCAGAGTACTGATCAGTTAAGTTCCACAAATGAATAGAGAAAAACAAACAAAAAATGTTCAATACTTGAAATACAAAAGGATAAAACCTAAGTTAAAAAAACCATCAATGTGTGAAGGGAAGAAACTTGAACAGGTTGGGATTGCCAGATTTTCAATGTAAATACCAATTTGAACTCCCAGCTGGGAAGGTGGGGAATATATCTAAATTTATTGAAAAGCAAACAGTTAAAGATAGTAAAATATAAGATTAAAGGGTGCCCTACATCTTCCAAAAAAATTGTCACCATTTACGGTCGGTCAAAAATTTTCTAGAATACTGATAGAAAAATGAATTTATACAAACAAAATGAACTATCATCTTGTTTGTTATGAAGATTTGCGGTTGCATACTAAAACTGACATACAATCTGACTCAAACTTCCCATGAAATAGCAAAGTGTCATCTTAGCTATCATTTTTATTTTTTGCATATCACAGCGTAAAAAATCTTTATGCATGTTATGGAAATATCATAGCATGGCATGCAAAACTACACAACCATGAACATTTTAAGAAAAAGATGAGCGATATCAATTTTACATAGGATCGAATCAGTGACTAGATACCCACATGCATAAACCTGAAGTAGCCAAATACTATGGAAATAAATTATACGTATACATTACTTTGATTCATTCCATCACAGAGCCAAAAAGAAACATCAGGTTGTTAAATAATAGTCCATTAACCAGCGCCTACTTTTTCTATCAATTAACTAGATACCAATCATTTTATATTAATGTTCATTAAATCATATAACTGCAATACCAAAGATCACAAGAAGTTTCAGAAATAGAATTCATCAGCACACTTCACCATTTTCAAAAATACTTACTTTGGAAAGCTAAAGAATGAAAATATATGTGAGAACTCACTCCTAGAAGATCGTGCCAAAATTACAACAACAACAACAACAAAGTATCAAAGAAAAACAAGATGTATAAACTCTATTGAGTGAAATATTGAGAAAATATAAAGTAACCTAAAGGACACTTTATTCATATACTAAAGGAACTTAAGCAGCTTGAGGTATATGTTACTACTGGTCATCAACACCCCAACCATCACAGCACTGCTACCGCCTCCCCTAGCACCCGAGTGAACAGTTTCAAAATCAACACCTCCTTCAATTGTGCTTTTATAGAAAATGTTAAATTGATGATCAGTTGGTTGATATATTCATGATATTTTCCATTTCTGAGGAAAATTTAAATTGAAGGTCAGTTGGTTGATATATTCTAATTATTTTCCATTTCTGCAACACCATCCAATGTAACCAAGCATTTCCAATATGACTTCAGTGGTCTAATAAGGCAAATGGCATTAAAGGTAGAGGTAGCAGAGTTCCAATCCTCAACTTGCTAGTCTAGGTGGTGTGTACAACAGGAATGATTATAACATAATTATCCAATACTTTAAAATAGAATGCCAGGGGAAAAATAGCAAAATATTAAAGTAGATTCACTTTTTTAATCAACAGGGGTACTTATAGAACTTAGCACAATAAAACAGCGGCAGATTATATCTAAGCCATAAAAGGAATTCGAAGGGGTGGAAAAAAACACTAAAAACTGCAATAAGCAATTCAGTAATTAGAATATGAACTATAAAAACAACCTATCAAACTATCTATTTAAAGGTATATTAGGGATTCTGCTTTGACATTGTCAGTTTTCTGTTCTCTATGTTTTGAATCAGACATATTCCATGCATTGCAATTAATATTCAGAACCGACTTAACATGAATGGAAATACTCACAAGTTTCACAAAAAGAGAAAAGGAAATACCTTCGCTATTGCCCAAAACTGAGCAAAATCAGCTACCCGCAGATTGCGGTCATCCACTAAACGAGACAAACATACCAGCAAGAAATTGGTCAGTTGCCAAACAATGCTGCACCAGTCGTTAGCTAAGATGAAGGCAGTGCACACTTCATATGCGCTGCATCTCACTTCTCTCAAAATCACACTAAAATAGTGAATGTGTTGAACAGAGAGACAGGTTAGAATTTTTGGGCAAGTCTCATTAAAACTTCACCTAACTGTCATTAAGTTTTTCAACTCCATCTAAGGTAAAGGACTTGTTTCCCTATGACATGCTCCAAAACATTTGAATATTTGCGCAACAACAATTGCCAACATATGTTTTTCAAAAAGGGTGTGCCTTATAGAAGATGAATCAATATCAATAACGAAATTTCAATAAATAATAGACAAAGATAATCTTAATAGAAATTCATGACTTCTTCTCCAAAGGAATAGGAGACATCTCAAAAGAACTCTTGTAATAAAATGTAAAGGAAAATTTAAAAAAGAAATATTTAACCCTTGTGCTTGCTGATAAATAATAAAAGCACGGGAAGCATTAACAGCATACCAATCACAAAAGTGAAAATCCCATCATCCATTGTCTTCTTGAATGCCTTCAACATACTTGATCGATAAGCCTACAAAAAAAGCATAGCAATCCACCAGTTGAAAAGTACGATCAATAATTTTTATAATTAGTGCATATATTTCTATAACTTCTAGAACCTTTTATAGCATATGATATTAATCAGATTAGGACAATAAAGCTGAGTAACAGGCGATCGGTATAATATTAGAAGATAAACTATAGCATGATTTTTATTCAGAGCCTTCCCTTGTTATGCCCCAAAATAAGGATTTTAAGTTATTTAACTCATAACATCATCTGCCAAAAAAATATGATGAAATCGAGCCCTGATGAACAAATTGTGTATAACTAATCCACTTGTGCACCTACGGTAATGATATTCACGAGAAAGCATGACGCTCTATATGAAACTTCTTCAATATAGATGTTTTCTTAAAAATTTTAACCGCAGTCTTAAGAAAATTGCAGACATTAAAAATATCTCTTACTACAGTGACAAAATGTTGGCTGTAAAATGCTAGATGTCTAATTCCATGCACAACAAATGGCAAAAGATACACCAATAAGACAGATATTGGGATAAATGCAACATGCGAAGAAACCACCAAAAGCTCAATAGTACAAACATGATTACATTGGTGCAAAAAGGCATGCTAAAAAAGTATTAGATTTAACACAATAATATCATTAATGGATGGATGAAGAAAGAAGATTCATGGAGCCAGCCCATATTAGTTGGAGTAAGGCTCATGATGACTATCAAGTTTGTTTCTAGATGCTTGATTAGTCGAGCAAGTAGACTGTTGAACTCTGAACCTCAAAACAAAAGGATGTTGGTAAATGCGGCTGAGTCCACCTTCTAATGAATTAATAATCAAATAGATAAAAGAAATGTATTGAAAGTTTGCTGGCAGGGCTTCTAAAAAACAGCAAACATCTCAATATCTCTTTAGACTTTAAGGGAAAACAAATGATAAAAATTAATACAGTTCAAAAAAATTAATTGACCTAGATAAATAAAGCAATAGAAATGATGGGAAATCAAAATCTAGACAAAAGTAATCCTTTTACAATAGGGAACAGGGAGAGCGAAGAATAAATTTTGAAAAAAAAAACTACTAGACAACAAAGTACCCTTAGAAATTAAGATATGAAAATAGTTTTAATCGATGCATCTGGCCAAAGAAAAACATGAATAGAAATACACCATCATTCATAATTTATCTCACTTCATCCAGACAATGACCTGGAATACAATTCTTAAGATCATGCAAGATTTCAAATATGGAATGAAAAAGTATTAAAACACCTATGAGAATAACGTGGAAAAAAATAATTACGTAGTAACAAACTAAATGACAGGAATTACCTCTTCCATTTCAGGCTCATAGCAATACTCGATCACTTTCTTGGTGATCTGCTTCTTGCTTCTGACAGGGCCGGTTGATTTAAACCCCTCATTGTCTTCAACCTTCTAACAAGCACAATAACCGGATTAAAATTCATAGAGAAGTTATGCTAGCAAAATTAAAACAAAACACATAAAATACGATAAAAAATATTAACTGCAGGACAAAAAAAAAAGAGATAGATCCTCTTGCCTTTTCAACTTCAATCATGAAGTAATCATCCATTGCATGAATTCGAGGTGCGTTTCCACCATTTTCAACCTCAATATCGCGTATTGCCTTTGCCAAGTAACTCTTTCCACTACCTACAGCATCATCATGTCATACATTAGTAAGTAGATCAAGAAATGATAGCTACTCTTGATTAATGTAAATAGAGAGTACCAACCCAAAAAAAAAGGATTCTAAATTAGAATTTGAAACAAAGAAAGATGCAGTATCCTAAAAATAAAAAATAAAAGCCAAAACTGGATAAAAAGAAGATGCTCTAAAGCTTCATTTGTCTCACATCCTTAGTTGCACACAAACAACGACTTCATTTTGTTCCTGTAAGAAGATGATTTCCTTTACGGTGTCAGATAATGCCCAATATTTCTTTTAGGTTGAGATTGCCCCATTATGCTATAGCAAACATAGGAATAATCCTTGATACATTCAGCAAATTAGGCTATGAACAATGAAAATTTCCCTCTTCAAGGAGAAAATTCAATGAATTGGATACAAGTTGTCTCTGGTGAAAGATGAGTTTTAATTTGAATTTAATTGCAGTCGATGATTTGGTGTTATCTAATATTTTGAAGCAAGAATTTCTAATAATGTCCTTAATGAAAAATTCCTTATAGTTTTATTTTGTGAAGCCAGCTTGACTCGGAGTTGAATCAATAATGATTTGATGGTAAGTCAATTCATAATTTCCCTTCACCATTTATCAGCCATACTATATCATGGGATGACAGTCAAACATATTCACATGAAAAATCAAAGACAACAAAACCTGGAAGTCCTCGAAGGATTATCACAATACGATCAGGCCGCGATGCTCGATAGGGCTGCTTAAACAAGCGAGAAGCATCAACGTAGGCAGGTTTTTCTTTGAAAGACTGCTTCACTGGAAAAGAGGGCCTTCTTTCATCAAAATTTGATGAAGGCTGATGGATGAACGGTGAACCCTGCATCAAAATGGATTTTGTTGTCAAGCTCTGGTTTGTAATCTTTAATGATAGAATATAGGAATCTATGCTAACGCGATTACTAAGAAAAATGGAGCTTGCTGTCAATGCAAAATCATAACATGAGAGAAATTCAACAAAATAGGGAAGTGTAAACTAAAATGCAATCATTTGCACAGATGTGAAGGTACAATCAGCACAAAAAAATGTAATACTTAAGCTAAAGGTAGACATTTGCTAGCCCAACAACATCACATTAAAAGTACCATTTAATAACCTTAAAATCCGATGGTATATTTGAAACATATTAATATTTAGAATATGAGAGCTTCAGAACATTTAGCCATTCAAAGTCAATGAGACAGCTAAAAAAAAAGTTTGGGGAAGAAGGCATACAGCATATAGGGTTTTATACTAAAGGCAATTAAAAGCTGATGATCTAAAACAACCTATATTGTCTGCAAACCAAGGGCTTCATAAATGCCAAAAAAGAGTTCCCTTAAATTAACATCCCTTTCCCGCTTCTAACCAAAGTTGAGGCCATAAACATCGCACAAGCCAAATACAACAATTGTGTTGAAGAAAAAAAATTTCTAAGAATTGTAAAACATCCTTGGTTCCATTGCAGACCTTAGTTATTCATCATCACAAACTTTCCTATCAAAATTCAACAGGAAACTACAGGAAAACCATTCCAAGTTAAATTAGTACATCAAAGAATGTGGCAACAAAATAGGACAAATAATGACTCGGAGATGGCTGCTTCTTTAAGAAAAAATACAAAACACGGCACTCCAAGAGATCACTTAAGGCAAAGCATTCTGTTAGGTTGTCCAAATGTACCATATAAAAGCTTTCCTTAGCCTATCAAACAAACAATTGACTGATTAAATATAATAAACCCCAACAACAATCTAGCACAAAATCAATGTTAAGTTTCTTCCTGGTTTCCACGATAGCAGATTTAAGAGGAAAGTTGGCTGCATTCAATCTTAATCTATGATGAAACAGTAGTCTCCCAAGGCATAAAAATGAAACAGTTGGTTTCCAAAGCATCTAATTAATCAGACAGAGGCATCCTAATAGCATTTTAGGTCAGAAGGAAAGCCCTTCAAATAAGAGATGCTGGTTACAATTCTTGAATCCCTTAGTATAAAAAATGTTTATTGGAAGATCATATGGGAAGATTGACAATAGTCTATGATGCACCGACACTTCTCCTCAAAGAGGCATGCAGTGTCCGACACGTATCCAACACGACACGCGTCCGATACTCCTCCGACACGTGTCAGACACACTGCAAACATGTCCAATTAAAAAAATATTAAATACAAGTTGGGCACATGTGTCTAACACGCGTATCTTACATATTTTATCCACAACACCAAATCAATCGCCCACACTTAATACCTCATTCATCAAATATTTTCATTTTCATCTCTTTGGTGGGTTACAACTTTGATTTCATAACAATGCTCAATGTCATCTCAACATCAACGTCTGCGTCATTACAACATCAACATTTCAAAATGATCTCCATATCAAAGTCTGACATTGTCTTTACATTGATGCTCGATACTAGCAATTTTTACGCTCACAACTTGACATCTTATCTTTGTCCAATGCCTTCCTATGATGCACCGACATGCCTCTTAAAGAGGGTATACAGTGTCGGACACGGACACGCGTCGGACACGGCATGGACACGTGTCCGACACGGCATTGGTGTGTCGCAATTTAAAAAATTAAAATTAAAATCGGACACGCGTGTCCGGTTATTAAATGAAAAATCGTTCATTCTATTTTGCCTTTTCCACGAACTAGAAGCTCTATTTTCCCGATCCACGAAAGAAATTTTCTAGGGCGGACCAGGAGAGCTCGCAGTCGACACCAAATGGAGCCCGCTGCCTTCGCCTCTCATTCCTTCGTCATCTCTGCTCGAGCCGAGGCCAAGGAGAGCTCGTCTTTCCCATTCCTTCATTCTTGCATGATTTCTGTGTTCATCCGAGGCAAAGTTCGCAATCAAGGCCAAACAGAGCACCTTCTGCGTGCAAGAGAGCCAAGACCTGTAAGTGGATTTTGCCATTTATTCTCTTCATTGTTGAAAAACGTAATGTACATGCTCCGTACCGCTCAGTGCATGCTCGGTATCGCTCGGTACCACAAGGTACTGCTCAGTACATGCTCGGTACCGCTCAGTACATGCTCGGTATTGCTCAGTACATGCTCGGTACCGCTCAGTACATGCTCAGTACCGCTCAATACATGCTCGATACCGCTCAGTACATGCTCGGTACTGCTCGGTACCGCTCAGTACATGCTCGGTACTGCTCAATATATGCTCGGTACTGCAAGGTACATATTCGGTACCACTCGATATCTTCCCGTACAAACAACTTACGAACTTAAAAACAAGCAGGTCAAACCCCGCCAGGGGGCAGCGCCCCCTTGGACCCCCGGCAGACCGG